CATGCTGAAATCATAAGAAGAGGAACAGACTCCAACCACGTTGCAATCTTGAAAGGAGAACCATACTATAACCACGCTGAAATCATGAGAAGAAGAACACACTCCAACCATGCTGAAATCATAAGAGGAGGAACATACTCCAACCATGTTACAATCATGAAAGGAGGAAGAACACATTCCAAACACGCTAAAATCATGCAATGAGGGACACACTCTAACCACACTGTAATCGTGAGAAGAGAAACACACTCCAACCATGTTGAAATTATGAAAGAAGGAACAGACTCTAACCACACTATAATCTTGAGAGAAGGAACTGTGATGATAAAATGATGATAAGCCTGAACATGTTTCATAGCAAAAGGTTGAATACAAAGAGAATGTGATGCGACAAATGCACAAAAACAGTATAATGATATGATGGACATACGGAGAGCAGTGCGATTTTGTGATGGATACAAAAAGTATGATGAGATTGAGTGATAGATGAACGATCTGACTATACAATCGATGCAAACAGTGTGATCATGCAATCGATGCACGTAAATAGTCTAATCATACAATTGATGTACAAAGACAGTTTGATAGGAGCACAAAAAATTATTTTCATTTTTTTTTTCATTTTTTTGATTTTTTTTTTTTTTGCATTTCTTATATTTTTTCGAGATCTATCCATTTGTAGACTATTTCACGTGCTTATTTTCTCAACAATATATATATATATATATATTGGCTCTCAATTTGTATTTTTTTTACATAAATCATCAAATACAAGGCCAAAAAATAATGTTATTCAGTCCACGTAGTGAGAAAAATTCTAGTTTTATTGTATTGGACCATAGTTTGAATGCTACCAAATACATAGTGGCCTTACCGTGGGGTTTTTTTTTTTTCCTTCACTTGCTTCGAAAATAATTCTATCTGTTGCTTTGTCATTAGTGTATTTATTTTTATTTTTTTTGAATTTTATATTCGATATAAGCATTGTTTTAAAGATCTTGAAAAGATGAATCTGAAATTATGAATTTTATTAAAAATGAATTTATGTTGTTAAATAATAGCATTTTATAGTATTTTAATACAAAATATATGTAACAAAGTAAATATGTCAAGGAACATCCTTGTCACTACATATTTGAACTTCCTAACAATTATGCAGCAGACATGGTATGTTTTAAGCTTCTTCTACAAATAAATTTGTGTTTCATAATATTGTATACTTAAATTATTTGCTACTAGATAATATTTCAATACATGTATAGCATTTTTACAATGAATCCGAAACAGTACTTAGAAACATATTGATACTAGTAAATATTGTACCAATTGAAAAAATGATATTTTGTCCGGTACATGATTAACAACTTTGGTTTAAATAATGGTGTCTTCTTGAGGACGATGGACATGTATAGTCAAGCTTAGAGTTTTGCAAATAACTCAGTTCCGACATTGGAGGAATACAAAAAAACATTATTTAATTGCAGACACATATATTCAAACTCAGGTTCGTTTGGGAAGTGGGTTGACTTTTGACTTGTTTAACCTAGAGCTAAAAATCATTTGGGTTTGACTTTTTGATTTTTTTGACTTTTGTGAGAGAAAAAGTGAAATGATTATGGTTTGGATGTGATATTTTGTCTTGTTTGCTTGTTAGCTTATTTTATCTTTTTGCGTCTAAATTAACTCCTAACTTCCAAAAAGTATCATGCCAAATGAGGACTCAATACAATGGACATGGAACGGAATGATACCGAGAGAGAGAGAGAGTTGTGGACAAGTGCGAGATAGTGGGAGGTAGACAATGAGGAATGCTATTTATAAGAATTGAATCCGCAAACTCACTTTATAAAGTAATTTATAACAATTGAATTCGCAAACTTATTTGGGAACAGATTATTTTAATAATTTTTTAATTTTTTATGAAAAGATATACAAAAAGATAAAGAGAATAATGTGATAATTTATAATAAATTTTTTATCTTTTTAGCTAAAATTGAAAGTTGCAAACATAACCACTCTTTAAAGTAATCCTGCACAATGCCAAATGCCCTGGTTCAAGCACATAACTCACTTGTACTCCATTAATTTATAACTTATTTTATCCGTATATAAATGATATTTTCTACAAATTAGAAAAATAATAATTTTAAATGAAAATAATTTTAAATAATCAAACTTTATGTCAACTTTCAAAAACAGTTTTTTGAATTTTGAATTCATATTTTTATATTTTTATTTATTTTTTAAAAATATTTTAATAAATTTCTTTTACTTTTTAGATTCACTTAATCTTGATATATTTAAAAAATACAAAATATGTACACAAATTTTTTTAAAAAATCATTAAATATAACAAAATATGAAAACATACTGAATTTTTATTTTGTTTTTGTATTTTTTGTATTTGGTGAATTTTTTAAAGGTTTTTTTTTTTATAGAAATATTATACTTTTTTTAAGTGTATCTAAATTAGATGTATTTAAAATAAAAAATTTACATAAAATATTAAAATATTTACTAAAAGTAAAAAAATATGAAAAACAAAAAATTTAATTTTCAAAAAAAAAAATTAAGTTAAATCAAATAATAGTATAGGTTTCAACAGAAGATAATTGACATTTACATAATTTGCCAAATATGCATCACAATGCACGATTTCTAGGGATGGCAATGGATAACCTACCCTATGGGTAGGGGGACTTGTTTGTGTGTGTGTGAGAGAGAGAGATTATTTTAGTCAAAAAAGACAAAGGGTTCGTTTGGTATGAAAGTTTGGGTTAAGATGGGATTATTTTAATCACAAAAAGATAAATAGGCTTTTTAACTCAATAAGATAAAATGTCACATCTAAATCATTATTATTTCATTTTTTCTCTCACAAAAGTTAAAAAAAAAAATCAAAAAATTCATTTCAAATGAGACTTTTTAATCTCAGGCTAAAATAGCCAAAAAATTAAAAAGTCAACTCACATCCCAAATGAAGGCAAAATAGACTAAAAAGTTAATAAGACAAAATGTCACATTTAAACCCTAATTATTTCATTTTTTCTTGGGAAAATTATCCATAGGTCATGTTTGAAATATGTGTACACCATTTAATCCAACAACTTTTTGAGTAGACCCAAAAGTCATACTTTTCCTCTCTCTCTCTCTGCTTTTTGCTTCATTCTTTACGTTTTCCTCTATTCTTCTTTTTTCCTACGTTTTCCTCTCCTGTTGTTTGTCGTGTACGACGACCGGTGATTTCACATTTCTTATTGACTTTTTCTTTCTAATGTATAGTCACCGATGACCGACGATCACCATTGATTGGGGTTCACCTACAACCACCAACCATTGACATCAACTCGTGACTTCATCCTTACCAACGGCGAAGAATATGAGTAGATCTACTCAAATATGATGAGTAGATCTACATGAGATCCAACTAGATCTAAACAAACAATAGTTGTCGGAGAACAATAATCTTTCGATATCTATTATTTCCTTCGATTTCTCAAATTTTCTACCGTTTCTCTATTACACAAGTCTATTTTTCTATTTTAATGAATAAAATTTTCAAATTCTAAATAAGTTGTTTTCGAGCATTAATTACAAGCGGTGAAAACAGTAAAATTTTGCAGTTTCAATTTTTTTGGTGATGGAATGAATCATGGTTTAAAACTGAAAAATTTTGCAGTTTCATAACGTTCTTTAGAATTGTAAAATTTTGGAGTTCCATAACATATTTTTCAATTTGATTAATAAAGATAAATACATAATAGATTTTTGTTCTGAAAACTGTAACATTTTATAATTTCAAAACTTGTTTTTCAGTTTGATCAATATTGGAGATTATTTGTTTAAACTCTATAAAAGTAAAAAATAACATATGTTTTTCCCATTGTTCCTATTTTTTGTTGTTACATTTTTTTTTCTTTTAGTTTATTAATATTTAGTACATTTTGTTATGTTTTTTCACTCTAATTTATCCATTTTATTCTCTTTTTTTTTTTTGCAATATTCTGAACATTCCAGTGAGTCTCCAATAAAGTTCTTAACGTCCAGTGAACGTTCTGGTGACTTCCATTGGCGTTTATAACAGTCCGGTGAACTTCCGGCGACTTCCCGGCGATACTCTGGCGACATTTCAGCGATACTTCGACGACTTCTCGGTAATGTTGAACATTCCGGCGAGTCTCCGGTGACCATGTGACGAAAGTTCGACGGTAGTGAATGTAACAGCCTCTATAATTTTTTTTTTTTTTTTTAAAAAGGATTTTTTTGATAACAATTAAAAATATATAGGACTAATTGGTACAAGTATTTTGCTTTGGGATTAGATGAGTTTTGAACTTTGTATATGAGACTTATTGGTAAGTTCTCCTTTTTCTTTCACAGAAATCAAAAAAGTCAAAAAATCTATTCCAAACGAGATTTTTTAGCCTTAGATTAAAATAATTAAAAAGTTAAAAAGTCAATCCACATTCTAAATGGAGGCGGATATTTGTTGAGTAAATAATAAAAAAACGGAAATGAGCCGTAGGTCGAATCCAATGGCTCGAAAGAGGGAGAGAAGAGAGGAGGAAGAAACAGAGGAGAAAGACTGAGAGAAGAGAGGAGGAAGAACAGAGGAGAAAGAGGGAGAGAGGATCGTCGCTGCTCGCCTCGCCACCGCCACCGCCACCGCCACCGCCGTCGCCTCGCTGCCGCCGATCGTCGCAGCACCAGCGATCGCCGGCTTTGCCTCGCCTCCGCCCCCCGGCCCCCGCTTCCAGCCCCAAATGTTGGGCCCCCTCCAGTCCCTCATCCTCCTCCCCCTCCTGTCCCTCCTCCTTCCTCCTTCCTCCTCCTCCCCTCCTCCTCATCCTCCTCCTCCCTCCCCTGCTTCTGATTCTACTTCACCTTCATCTCAAAAAGGAGGCCGTTTTTGAATTCGAGACATTTCGAGCCACTCGGTAAATAAATATATATACTATATATATATATTAGTAGTAGTAATAATACACAGTTACAAGGTGGAGGACACGGCCACAGGAGCGCGCCAATGTCGCTTCCCTCTGGTTTCAGCTGCAAACGCTCCCCTAAACATCTGACACCACTCTCTCTCTTCTCTCTCCTCTCTCTTCTCTCTTCGTTCTTCTTTCTTCTTCCTCTTCTTCTCATCACACAGCTCCAAAACAATGCATTCCATTCCCAGAACCATTTCTAACTCCTAACACTCCCAAACCTTCTCATCTTTTGCTTTTCAATCTTTGTATTTTTATTTTTTGTTGGATTTTTGATCGATGATTCGAAGAATTTTGGCAAACGAGATCTGAAGAAGATCGGTATTGATAAATTTTTTTTGTTTTGTTTTGAAAATTTGGAGGTTTGTTTTGGGAATTTGATGATACGCCAAATTAGAATACATTGGCATCTATGAAGACTGTACGGGTGGTTGAAGTTGAGACGAATCGGCTTCTTCGGTGGCTTCCCAAGCTTTGTTTCAGATGGAATGGCAGATCCTGTTAATTATGGCAATCCTGAGCGTGACATCGATCAGGTCTCTCTCTCTCTCTCTCTCTCTCTCTCTATATATATATATATATATATATTCAGGAATTCAAAACAATGTGTTGTTGATGTAAATCAGTGGATCACCATTACAGAGAATCACCATTTCAAAACAATGTGTGTTAGTGAGTGTGCTGATTTGTACATGTATGTATGTATATGCAGTTTAGTTCCCAATAGAATACTATATGATTTGAAAAACGTATATTATCCAGGAAAAGGTTTGTCAAAAACCAAAAATGGTTGGTTTTCTTTGTGTTGTTATACTAGAATATGGAGTCAAACATTTTAATTTGGCTGGATTTGGAGGCTGAAACAGAATTGTGCTTGGGCTTTTGCAAGATAATCCCAATAAGGAATATACAAAATAATAATAATGACATAGTGGTTAAAATAGGAAATTAGGGAGGAAACTTCTAGTTGGGAAAGTCAGTTTATACTTTATTATAGATTTCATAATTAATGACTCCCCCGATTTTTTTATTTTTATTTTTTACCACTAAGGGCTTATTTGATTAGAAGGATTAATAGTGGGGAATTAATAGTGGGGGAGGCTAGGGGGTGTTTGATAACCTGATTCAGTACTTAAAACTGAATGCATAATCAATTAAGGCCATTTAATAACCACAATTGATATCACTTAAAAATTTAAGTGCCTCTTAAAATATAAGCTAAAATTTTTTAAAAAAATTAAGTCATATAAAACTTACTTAATTTTGATTGAATTTATAAATGCTAAACATATGTATCGATATACACTATTATAAACTCACTACTACCACCACCACTACAATCACCATCATCATGCCACCGCCACCAGTACTATTACTACCACCACCATCACTACCACTACCGCTACTGCTGCCACCACTATCACTACCGTTATCGTTATCGTTATCGTTATCGTTATCGTTATCGTTATCGTTATTGCCACCATCATGCCACTACCACCAAGGGCGACTCTACACCCAATTTTGGGTGTTCAATTGAACACCTTGAATTTTTTTTTAATTATATATTTGTAATTTAATCCAAAACTTTATGTTGAACACCCTAATCCACTTTCCTGAACACCCACCATAGTTGAACACCCACTCAGCCCACTTTCTTGAACACCCAACCTAGCCCACAACCCGTTAATCAATATATATGCTTTGTGACACACAACATGTTTTGGAGCTTTGCTTTCTCAACTTGTGCAAAGTATCTTGTTTACAAAATTGTGTGGTTTTGCAATTTCTAGCAAGCGTAGCACTTGAATGTTAATGTTGATCAATAGTTTTATAACTTATCTCAATTTGAATTAAAGGAGCTTTCCTCATTTTTTTTATCATGCCAGTGATAAAAATAAAATATATTTATGTAATTTTTTTATCTACATTTTATTTTTTAAAACAATGATATTGATAAATTATAATTTTTTTTTTTAATTGTATATGATTTGAAAAGTCTAAAAAATTAAAATTTTGAATGTCTACCTTGAAATTTTTTTTTTTGGGGTACTCACACTGTGAACAACCTAAAAAAAATTCTTGGTGTTGCCACTGACCGCCACCACTGCCACTTTCATCACCATTGTCATTGTTTCCATAACCACACCACCATCATTTTACTATCCCTACCATCGTTACCACTACTATCACCACCACTACCATCAACAATACCGCTACTATCATCACCATGCCACCGCCACCACTACCACCATCATACCATCACAATCACCACCACCGCTACCACTATCACCACCCTCACAAAATAAAAATTGAAATATACAATTTGAGAATAATAAATTTCAAATTTGATCTTATACATATCAAACAATTTATTTTTAGTTCAACACTTAAATTTTTATCAAACAGCTTTTTAGCTTAAAAAGTTTTTTTTTTGGATCGGCTTTTAGCTTAAAAAGTTAGTATTCACTTTTCAATAATTAATTTTCAATCTTCAGTTTTCAGCTTTATCAAACATCACCTTAGTGTAGGATTGATTGTCGAGTTAGATTAGTGAGGTATATAGTTTCCTCTAGTCCACGTTTGTTTTGCAATAGATATGGAAATATATAATCCCAATTATATGTATGTTTTGTATTATTAGTTGCAGGATTAAAAAAATCTGTCAATTTTGTTGGATAGAATGGTTATTGGATTCTAATCTGAATAATAAAATTTGCAACCAAATAATGGAATGTGAGTCCCATGGATTAATAATCCCAATGCTATGCTATAGTCCGCCTAATCAAACTAGCTTGTAAGAGAAAATAGCATGATAGTGAACTCCAAAAAATTAAAAAGGGGGTAGTGAACTTAGAAAGATTAAATGACTGGCAATTTTTAATAAAAGTTGTTGGTACGCCACACGCTAGATGAGATTAGTGGATAGGTTAATTTCTTTTTGCAATTGGAATGAAGTATCTTGAGTAGTTTTTTGTGTGTGGGCGCGTGCATGCACAGTTGAAGTAGCTTGAGTAGTTGAGTTTGGCATTAATTGGAATATGGTTGTCATAACAAAAGTGAACAAACAAGCCTAGAGTTAGGGGATGTAAATGCCAAATGATGCATATATTTGTAATTTTACTTTCTCAAGACTATAACAATAAAGATAAGAAAAAGAATAGATATGTAGTTGGCACAAAGAGATTGAGAGCTAACCAGTGGAAAGAAGCATCCTATAAAGGAAACAATTCTCTCATTCATGTTTTTTGATATTAGAAATTAATCCTAATAGATTGATGCAAGGCATGTGGCTTGAACTTGTGACCTCATTGACAACAATGCTATGGTTGTGCTATATCACAAAACTGGTTATAACTTATTATTACTTTCTTCAAAATTATTTAGTTTCTACCTAAAAATTAAAAAAACAAAAACAAAAAAAGTACTCATTTAACCCAAACACTGCAAAGATATATAAATACGAAAGCTATATGACATAGATGCTCTCAAGGCACTCTGAATTCTACAAATTCTGAAAGTTGGCAATCTCACTCCTCCTGCTGCACTTCACGAACTCATTACTTAGTGCCTAAAAAACTAGAACTCTATGCCTTTCAAGCCTTCCACTCCTTTTTTCAGGCAAACGCTTGTGAGCTCAAACTGTGTGACCAAGGTTGTAATATGTTATATGTTATAGGTTATTTTATTTTATTTTTATTTATTGAATTTTCTAAATGGATCAGGTTCTAGCAAACAATAATGCAAAATTAAGCCGTGTTTAAGATAAAAGATGCTCAGTAGAAGCGAGACACAAGAAAAATTGTTACACATAGATTCATTGGATACTTATATGTTTCCCTTTGTCTTTTATTATTATTATTTCTTTTATTGAAATAGAGGGTATTGAAAGTCTTGAGCTTTGCCATATGACACCTTGGAAAAAGATTATTGCTTAAAACTTCACTTATCTTTTTATTATGTAACTGATAGCATTAAAGTTAGTCATGTATGTTTATTCATTTGTACTGCTTAATTATTTTTGTTAACATCTTCACTTACTTTTTTCTTTCTTCTTTGGAAGGCACTCATTACTTTGAAAAAAGGTACCCATTTAATTAAGTACAGCCGCAAGGGGAAACCTAAGTTTTGTCCATTCAGAATTTCTGCAGTAAGTTATCTTACTCTCACTTGAGCTATTCAGTTGTCCATGTTGAACATGGCCACATTGATATAAAATTTCCCTGCAACTGTCTTTAAAATGAAAACTTCCAAAAGAATGGTAACTAAAGATACTCTTTTCCTGCAGCAGGTTTACTTGTATTTTATATTTTTCTTCTTGTATTGTGTGAAATGTTACATCACTTGCACACAAGAAGACATGCCCACATTTGACGTAAAATGAATTTAACTGGAAATGAACCAATAACAAAGGGCTATTATAAATTAGATAAGTGCATCATGTGTGTGGGGTGAACAATGTATTTTGGCTGTACTAGATTGAGTTTTGTTTTGTATCTCTTTTCTTTTGAAAAAGAAAGTGAATAGTTTATGAACTCAATAAATGTACTCTATTTTCAAATTAGTGCAGTTGTGTTGTGAAGTTATTTTTGTGATGGACAATTCCCTCTTTCTGATCTCCAGCAGCAATAACGATACAGAACATTTAAAATGTTACCACCATTCTTATAGAGATGCTCGTATTGTTCTTTGCCTCGGTTGCTGCCAAGGGGTGTTCTCCAATGGAGATTCATTATTTCAACTTCCAGGAAGACGTCTTCTTGTTGATTAATAGGGCCTCCTTGACCATGACTGGGTGGGTAAGAGTAGAAAGGTTGGAGTTGGGGCCTTCTCGACGCTTTGATCCTGGTCGTGGAAGGTCCCAGGTATGAGGATCGGACTGGGAAGTAGGAGGGAGATTAGTGTAACTTGCCACAAAATTTTGTAACCTCAACCGTAAAATGTATAACCTTGCCACAAATTGGCGTAACAAAAAATGCCGTAATAAAGACACAAACTTTTGTTACATGAATTACAAAATTTTGGACATTTTGTTACACCAATTTGTGGCGAGGTTATGCATTATGTGATTGATATTACGAAATTTTATGGTAAATTATGCCAATTTGTGATAGGGTGCATATGGTACATAGGCATTTTCCCTTCTATTATTCTTTCTCTTTCTCTCTCTCTTGTTTTCCATCCATATGTATACATACAGTTAAGAAACAAACCAAGAAAGACAACAAAATCAATGTCATGCGTGATGATCTCTGTCTCTGACCTGGAAAATGTTTGAGACTTAAAAAGTTCCTACAATTTGACCCACAATGTGGTAGTACAATAGGTGTCAATTTCTGATTAGTTACACTCAATGATATATTGTCTACCTTCCTTTGCCACATCATTGTGGGTCTAAAATCTGGTTCTCTAAAATCTGGTTCTCTAGCATTACTCCTCTTATAAATGTGTCATCAACTCTATTGACCAAACATAAATGTTCTTCTTCCCTTCCCGATAGTTCCTAGTTGTTGTGAGTCCACATTTTGTATGTTCTAAAGTCACTTTCAATTTCCCAAACAAAGGCAAACCTTAATAAATTACCAATCGATTCACGAACCTTCTAATCAATCCCAAGAGATTGGTCTTGTGATCAAAATTTTGGGTTTGGAAGTTGAGTTTGGATTTGTTAAAGTTGAAAGCCTCTATTTTACAGTGAAGTTGATCCATTATTGAACAAATATGAACTTACTTCAGTAATCTAAACCTCTCATCTTATATAACTAATTAAAAAATTATTTATGCAAAAAATAAAGTTGATCTAGTATTGATTGTCAAACTATTAGATCATAATTATCTGTAGAGCTTACATGTTTTTAAGAATAGATCGTCCAGGTGTTATATAATATATATATATATATATGTATGTATAATTCGATCATATGATTAATTATGTCTGATCAATTCAATTTTTTGTATGCATGCTCTTCTCAGCTTGTTATATTAAATAAATAGTTCAAATATGACATAGATAGAAACTAGTCCCACAATGTGCTAACTTCACCTCTAAAGTTGAGATCTTTAATTTTAACAAATCTAAACTCTTGGAAGCGTGCTCCTTTTATGGTATCTGGTTTGAAAATGTCTTAATTGCAAATAATTTCTTGGGTCAATTCATACGGGACAAATATAGCTATATGTAGGGTTGCAAATGAAGAATCATTCGTGAACAGGCTTGAACTTAGCTCGGTAAAGGTTTGTTTGAACTCGGTTCATTAAATTTTTATTGCATTCGAGCTCAAGCTCGAGCTCGTTAAAATATTAATAAAGAAGCCCAAATATACTAAAGCTGGGCTTGTTTAACATTTAATTAAATAATATAAAAATATGTATAAAAATAGGTTAAATATTTTATTTATATATTTAAATAATGTAAATGTAAATAATAGCTAAATTAATTTATGTAAATAATAGCTAACTATAGATAAAACATTTATATAATAGTGGTGGTAGATATTATTATTTTTGTAAGATATTGACTTTTTTTTTAGTATGTTTATATATATTGTTTAATCAAAATTTTAATTGTAACTTTTGTCTCATACACAAGTATAAATTTATAATTTCTTTGGCTCATTAAGGCTCGTGAGCAAGTTTAAACTCGAGTCGAGCCCAAACCAACTCGGTTCGAGCTCGTTAAAATCTTAATAAACAAGCCGAATATACTAAAACTCGGCTTGACTCGGCTCGTTTGCAACCCTAGCTATGTGGTATGTAGCTAAATATAAGTACATTTCACTAATATTTTTCGTTTTCTTCATTTTTTTTTCTTTTAAATCCATAATTCAAAAATAAACTTTTAATGAATGGCGGACCAAAAGGAGGCTTGCAAAGTTTCAAAATGTTCATGTAATTGGTAGTGTTTTTGCTTCATGCTCTGTAAATTGCTGATGGTGATCCCCTCAAAGAGCATAAAGATAAAAGAGGAGCAATTCTACGACACTTAAAAAAATAAAAAATAAAAAGATTATTTTTATATATTACTCCATTTGTCCTAAATTGTTTGTTTGGCATGGAAAACAATAACTTAAAAATTGTAATCTAGTATCAAAATTTTCAATTTTAAACCGATTAAAATATCTCATTAAGTACAATTAATTTGTGAAAAAAATTAAAAATTTAACAAAAAAATACATTTGTTAAGTTATTATTTTTTTGGACAAACAATTTAGGATACAGATATTATACAGGTAGATAAATTATACAATATTAATAAAAAAATATTGAAAATAATCCTTACAACTGTTGTTAAGGTTGGCAAAATGTATTAAAAATGTAAAAGACGTATAAAATATATAAAAATAAAGTAATAAAAATTTTTGCATAAAAATATGATCATTATAATATTATTAATTAATTATATATTTTGAAGTTAATGGTGTAAAATGATATAAAAAATGGCATGAGTCCTAGCACAACTCAGTCTTTTTTTTATTAAAAAAAAAATTCCTTTTTTGTTGTTTATATTTTGTATGTGTCTATTTCAATATTAACTAAGAATTTTATTTACAATTTTAGTGATGTTTTTAAAATTTTATACTTATAAAATTATAAAAAGTGTATGTTTTAGTATAATTTTTGCACTGTCTACACTATTAATAAACTAATTAAAATCTTATAGTCAAATTTAGATAAATATAATTTGGCCATCCATCATTCTAATTTATGCGTGTGTCACTGCTTCTAATCTAAACCTTAGTTAAATATCAATTTTCAAAGTTAAAATTTACAATAAAACCACCTTGACTGAATAATTATTGTACATAATTCTAGGATTAAACTTTGGTTAACTTTCTCTACTTTGTACATTATTTGCGATTAAACATTATTTTTCATATACCCAATATTTAAATTCAACACAGACTTTAGAATCTTTCACATCATTTTATAATGTTTGTGAATCTAAAAAACTCCCAAGGAAGTTCAAGACAATTTTGGAAGGTTCTAGAATATTTTAAAACAATCTAAAACTTAAAAAAATATTGTAAAAGTCTGAAACAATCTAGAAAGTTCTAAAGTATTCTAGAAAAGTATAAAAAATTCCACTATGTACTAAGATTTTTTTTAGAGAATTCTATAATATTGTGAAAGAATGAAAGTAAGCTAAAGTATTCTAGAAGGTTAATGATAGCCTTTGAATTAAGTTAATCCTAACTGTCTATTAAAGAGGTGAAAGACTATATAAAGGAACTCCTCATTTACCATCCCTCAATTTGCAGATATTCTGTTTAAGCATAAAGCTTCCCTATTTCAAACCAATAGGGTTGATAAATTACTTGATCATTCGTTCTTGCTTGAACAATTTTTTTTTTAAGAAGATAAATCAACATTACCATCCAACACTCTTCTTGTTCATGAAAACTTGATTGGTTGCTATTTCACCGACCCTACTATTCATTACTGTAAACAACTTTTTCATTTCTTTGAAAGATTTTATCTTGCCATGCAATTCTATTTTATCGAGTATACTATTTATTATTTTAGTTCTTCATTTTTTTGAAAATTTTATCTTGCCCCGCAATTAAAAAACTAAATGTTATCTAAACGGTATTATTTTTTCATGTCTAACTCTCACGATTCAATGTGAGAGGAACTAAAACTCAATAAAAGTTCACAAAAGTAATTTAAAAAATAATTTAGCATATTTTTTTATTTATTCATATCCTATTTAAATACAATAAATAAAGATAAATACTGAAGAGATGTATGACTGGAACAATTCCGCCCTAACACATTGTTTTTCCTCATGAATGCTCAATAGACTGGTGTGTGGTAGTGTTGGGTTCGAATGGATCATGGGAGGGGAGAATATCGTTGGCTGGTAGTGGGTTTGGGTACGGGAATAGATAAGCACCTTCCCCAAAATTTTATATGATGAGCTAACCAAACTAATAGGCCTAAAGTCCTTAATTTTCCCCACGTTTTCCCTTTTAGGAATCAAACAAACAAAAGATGCATTCATGCACAAATTCCTACTCCCTTCTCAAAAAACTCATTAAAAACATTCATCAAGTTCATTTTCACAATGTCCCATCAGTCTTGAAAAACTGCCACAGAAAACCCATCCGGCCCAGGAGCTTTATCTCTCTCACAGTGAAAAACAGCCTCTCTAATCTCCATCTCCTCAAATGTGTCTTTCTAACCATCTTGCATTGACATCTCCAATCATCCTCCAATCTAAACCTTCAATTCCAGGTCTCTCAATCCCCCCATCTGAATAAAGATGTGAATAGAAATTAAAGATCTCATCACAAATTAGGTCCTCTTTATCCACAAACACTCCTTGATCCACCTCAAGCCTCTTAATAAACTTCTTCCAATATCTTAACTAATCATGCGTATCTATTTAAGTCTTTGTCTTCTATAATTAGATCCATGCATGGTGTAATTTAGTTAATGGAAATTTTAGCTGGACTTGCTTATTAAAATGCATGTACATGTGTAGTAATTCAGATACTATTTACTTGTACTTCTACAAGGTACATTGACTTCATCTTTTTCTTGACTCAAAAGTCATGACATACAAATTAATAACACCAAGAGTAATGATTTAATGATATTTGCAGGATGAAACGACAGTGATCTGGTACTCTAATGGACGTGAAAGGAATCTGAAGTTGTCATCTGTTTCACGGATTGTCCCTGGACAGAGAACCGTGAGTTAGCACATCTTTTAAGGGTGAACTGATAATTTTAAGTTTGGAGTTCATTTAACCTGATTTGGAGTATGGTACCAATATTTTTGTTGAGCAGTTGTGAGGTGACATAGCATTAAAAAATTTAGTTGTTAAATGTATTGTTACAGGCTGTGTTTAGAAGATATTTGCGCCCTGAAAAGGAGTACTTGTCATTTTCACTTATATATAATAACGGTGAAAGATCTCTAGATCTGGTGAGTGAAAGTAAATATCTAATTTTAGTTATTTTAATTGCAATACTTTCAGAGCAATGTGAACCATGATGATGAGACACTTTCAGTGCATTTGTTAAATCTAATTTTTTCTACTCTATAGATTTGCAAAGACAAAGTTGAGGCGGAGTTGTGGCTTGCAGGCCTGAAGTCTTTACTATCTCCTGGTCAAAAGTATAGTAGACGTACTCGAAGTGATATTAGTGATGTAAGTTTTTAATCTTGACTCTGGCTTGGAATGATTAACCCTATTTTCCTTTAATATATGTTATTTCTCCCTTTCTTAAGAATAATAAATTTATTGTGTTGTACAATTCAACTATTTTGATGGGCTTAACAACTTAAGTAATTTAAATATGAATTTTTATTACCATTGCTAGAATTTTCTTGTTGATTGCTAAAAGAAGGTGTTTTCTAGAGACATGCTGCACACAAACCGCTGTCCCTATTTTTTCTTTGATCGTGTAGATCATGTCACTGCATTTATTATCTGAAATGTCATTAATATGGAAATGCACAATCTGTTTCTTCAATTTGCATTTTTTTGGGGTTACATCGGAGGCCCCTGCCTAGGGGAGTGTCCAATTTGCAAATTTATCATACTCCTTTTACAGCAAAGAGTTGGTTGCTATTGAACTCTGCTTTGGCTACTAAAGTATCCATCGAATGGATACAACATTCCCAATTTTTTATTTTATTTTAATTTTAAAGAAAGAGGGTAATAGTGGGCTGGCAATAAATCTATAATTAAGATTTAAATATGTTTTTCAAATATGATGAGAAATTCATAAAATCCTACAATTTTATCAGTATATGTGCAAAAGCTTGTATAGTTCAAGCTAGTACTGTTCAAATCACTCACTCATGCTAAACGGGTTCATTAAAGTTAAAAAAATTTCCTTGCAAAAACAGTAGTACAAAAACAATTGAAATTTTCTCTTGGACAAAATTCTTCATCTCCTCCTAAGATATTTTATTGTATTGTGTCACTTGTGCATAACTAATGCTATCATTGAATATGTACATTATGTGTAAGACACATATTATTTAATTGCTTTGCCATTAAACTTCTAGGAGGTTGGTATTTATTACTAGATAATGAACTTCATGTATTTGTCTAGTTGCTAACAAATCACTTGTTTGTTCACTTGTGTCTTTATATGAATTTTTATATTTTATCATGAGGTACTTACTATATCTGAGTACTAGCTGTCAATTATGTTTTGAAATTTCAGGTGACTATGCCAACCTTCATGAGGCATACTATTTAATTGTTTGTTGAGTGTAAATATCATTCATACTTGAATTCCATGCAGTTTCCACTTACTTTAATACAGTCCAAATGATTTCTTGTTCATATACTTTATGACAATGGCCTCATTCATTAAAGCGTGAATAAGTCAGTGGTAGTTTACTGTGTAGTTCCTTTGTTTCCTTATCCAAGACAAACCTTGATAGTAATGATTATAATTCTGTTGTTTTTACATTTTACTGCAGTTATATGCTGGTGGTAGTGATTTCTTTTCCAATGGCCGTCCTTTTGGTGCGACACTAGAGTTCACTTCAAGTATCGCCCGTGGTAGAGTGTCCATTGATTCATGTGCTAGTGAAACTTTGAATTTTCCAAGCTCAGATGTGGGGTCTGAACGTGCAAGTATGCAAGGAAGAACAAGCATTGGAGATGGTTTCCGAATTAGTGTTTCAAGCACTCCTAGTTGTTCAAGTCAAGGCTCTGGACCAGATGATATAGAATCCTTGGGTGACGTCTATATTTGGGGAGAGGTTTGGTGTGACACAACTGATGGATCTGTGAGTCCATATCCTACAAAAAATGATGTGTTGATTCCTAAACCTTTAGAATCGAATGTTGTTCTTGATGTTCACCAAATTGCTTGTGGTGTTCGACATTTTGCTCTTGTTACGAAGCAAGGCGAGGTCTTCACTTGGGGAGAGGAATCTGGGGGGAGACTTGGTCATGGAATTGATAAGGATTTCAGTCGCCCTCATCTTGTTGATTTTCTAGCGGTTACTAATGTAGATTTCGTTGCATGTGGTGAATATCATACATGTGCTGTATCTATTTCTGGTGATTTATATACCTGGGGTGATGGTGCCCATAATGCTGGTCTTCTTGGTCATGGCACAGATGTTAGCCACTGGATACCGAAAAGAGTTTCTGGTCCTCTAGAAGGAGTTCAAATTTTTTCTGTTGCATGTGGCACGTGGCATTCAGCATTGATAACTTCTAATGGAAAGTTATTTACATTTGGTGACGGAACATTCGGTGTCTTGGGCCATGGTGATCGAGAAAGTGTCCCTTTTCCCAGGGAAGTTCAATTATTAAGCGGATTAAAGACTATTAAGGTTGCATGTGGAGTGTGGCACACTGCAGCCATTGTAGAGGTTATGGGCCAACAAGGTGCGAATGTTTTATCTAGGAAGTTGTTCACTTGGGGGGATGGCGATAAAAACCGATTGGGTCATGGAAACAAGGAAACATATCTGCATCCGACCTGTGTCTCTGCACTTATTGACTACAATTTCCATCAGCTAGCTTGTGGACATTGTATTACTGTGGCCCTTACTACATCTGGACATGTCTTCACGATGGGCAATACTGCTTATGGTCAATTGGGCAATCCACAGTCTGATGGAAAGTTGCCTTGTTTAGTACAAGATAGATTGGTAGGTGAATTTGTCGAAGAAATATCATGTGGTGCATATCATGTTGCTGTCCTGACATCAAGAAGTGAAGTTTTTACTTGGGGTAGAGGTGCCAATGGAAGATTGGGACATGGGGACATTGAAGATCGGAAGTCTCCAACTTTGGTTGAAGCACTAAAAGATAGGCATGTAAAAAACATATCGTGTGGCTCAAATTATACCTCGAGTATATGCATTCATAAGTGGGTATCTGGAGCAGATCAATCAATTTGTTCTGGTTGTCGGCAAGCGTTTGGTTTCACTAGAAAGAGACATAATTGTTATAACTGTGGATTGGTTCATTGCCATGCTTGCAGCTCCAAGAAAGCATTGAAAGCTGCATTGGCTCCAACTCCAGGCAAACCTCATCGTGTTTGTGACTCTTGCTATGCTAAACTAAAATCTTCTGACGCTGGTAATGGCTCTTATTATAATAGGAAATTTACTGCCCTTCATCACACAATAGACAATAGGGAGAGATCAGACAGGGGAGAGTCAAGAACTTCAAGAATTTTGCTCTCTCCTACCACAGAACCAGTCAAGTACCTCGAGGTAAAGTCAGCAAAGCCTGGAACGAGGTCTGATAACTATGCTATAGTCCGAGCTTCCCAAGTTCCATCACTTTTACAACTAACAGACATTGCATTCCCAAGTTCATTGAGTGCTCTTCAATATGCTTTCAAACCTATTACGGCACCTCATCCTCAACCTCAGCCTCCTCCACAGTTTCAGCCTCAGCCTCCGTCGGCAGCCAACTCAAGATCCTCTTCACCATTCTCAAGAAGGCCAAGTCCTCCACGCTCTGCATCTCCTGTATTTTCTAAGGGCGTGATTGATAGTCTCAAGAAGACCAAAGATCTTTTGAGCCAAGAAGTGACAAAATTGCAGAGCCAAGTACTTTTTTTTTTCCCTTCCTTTTTTTGTACTAACAAGCTTGGTTTTGTTTTTTTTCTACTAATTCATTGTCATAAGATTTTGAATCTAGATGCAGCCCCTTGATAAGAATTTACTTACTTTTATTTTGTCTTGACTTCAGATTAAAAGTTTAAAGCTGAAATCTGAAGTCCAAGATACTGAGATTAAAAAACTAGAAAATTTTGCCCAAGACGCTACTCTCTTGGCTGCGCAGGAATCTTCCAAATGTATAGCCGCAAAGGAAGTTATCAAGTGTGTCTCAACTCAGGTGCTCATACTAATCCCTACTCATACTAATCCCTCTTTTACCAATTTCATGGCATTTCTCCCTTAGGGGGACCCTTGTGGTGGATGGGGGAAACCAAAATGGTGGCTTTTTCTAATTCATATGACATCCATAATTATTACACAGATACATACACATGAATAGATGTTTGTATATTAAAAATCTATGTCTGCTTATATTTTGGAAAGACCTGGTTTTGTAAGAAAGTATCGTTTTTGGAGAGATGGAATCTTTAGATTTTGAAACAAATTAGCACAGGTTACCTCAAAATGGAAACAACCCTTTCAAATTGCATGTTTTCCATTGATGTGTGTGTGTGTGTGTGTGTGAACATTAAAAAAATCCATTGATATTGTTGAGTCACTGAAAAATGAAGTCATAAATTGCCAATTTACTATAATTTTTTTACAAAGGGAGAGAAAAGAAGATATAATTGTCCTTTTATTTGTTTTCACTTGAGATTGTAGGGAGCTTCTATTTGCACACACCCATACACTCTATGCACATCCTTCTCAATAAATAACTTGTTCGGAAGTAGCATTCTAAAAATTATCATTTCTTTCGATAGTAGAATTTCGAATTTTTTTTATTTTTTTGACATTCAACTTCCAAATGTGTTTATTTGAATTGTGTGTGATGTCCATAATAGTAATTTCACTTGGGAATAAAATTGTAATAAAAATAATTATCATTAAGTGTGTGCATAGAGTGCATTGGGTGTGTGCAAATAGAAGCTCCCGAGATTGTACTAGCCTGATCTGCATCTTCGATTGAACAAGCACATGGAGATATGCATAATTATTGTTTCCAAAAGTGTGATTTTCAACCTGGGTTATCAAACTTAACTGACCAGTGACAAGGTATAATGGAACCTTCGATAGTTTGGGGTAAATCTTTCAGGTCGTATTGGCCTTCAACTTGTGAAGACCTTGTTCACACGACCACATTTGGTGTGGGCTGTTCAACCTGGCTTGGTCAAAGCTACTTGAGTTGTTCTATTTGGTTCATTCTGTGTAATATTTATTCAAAAATATTTGAGAATTGTGGGTTAGGAGACTTGAAATCAGAAACTCAGCAATGCAGTGGAATAGCGAATCAAGTGCAACTTTTATTTATCACAATGATCTTTGAATACATGCAAGACACACACGGATGCACATATAACATCTTCACAGCTAATATAATGTGTAGCAATTGGACACATAATATCGGACAATTAAAAACCCAAAACCTACAAGCGTTGTTTCTCCTTTATCGCAATGAGATCAAGGTGCTTGCTTACTCTCCATAGCCGCACTGGCAGATTGGCTATATTGATGAATTTGACCTATCAGAACTTGAGATTTATTGTATTACTGGCTCTTGGCCCAATGTTAGACCTCTACAAACTAATGCCATTTGAATGGAAGGTCCAATGCTGGTAGAAAAGTGGTTTTCCATGAACCTTGTCCTCCACTAGTTGCCAGGTTGGGAAATTACCCTATAGGTTATGTATTTTAGGATCAAACGGACTAAGAGTGATCCTAAACAATTTCTGTAGATAAAGGAGTCCAGAAAAGAGTGAGGGAACTGCATTTATCCACACGTAATATAGCTTATTTACTTCCATATGATATGAATCACATGATAACCCCAAATACTGATACATAGAGTCATTTCAGAAGCACAAGCATATTTATTGGTGTATATTTACATTGACAGATGAATTCAAGCATATGGTTTTTAATTCTTCAGTTCCAGCAGACAGAAATGCGAGAGAAAGATGAACTCATTATTCTATTGCATTACTGAATCTTTTGATGTTGAAAAAGAGAACTTATCTAACATTACCCTCCAAGGACTCCATCAGTTTTACTTCTGCTTTCTGGTTCTGTTTCTAAATTTTATATACAATCATGCATATGTATCATGTCATGCATTAACTATGTGACCCAATACTGGAACCAGTGATCTGGCTGCAATTAAGTAATGGCTTTGCCATGTGTAATTAACATGATAACTTTTTTGGGTGAATAACATGATAACTTGTATTGCTTGAAAAAAAAAAAAAAAAAAAAAAAAAAAAAAGAAGGCAAAAGTGGTGCACCCACTGGCCCTATGCCAAGTTTGTACTACATGTTTTGTATATATAGTTCTATGACCAATGCCATTGATCTCCTAGTTTGTGTGCATATACTTGGACATGTTTCTTTTGCTGCTAGTATATGTTTGATGGATATATAGTAAGATTCGACATGACAAAATTAAGAATGAATATCTTTGTGAATTGGTAGGAGCAAACACCAAGTGAAGATAAGTTGAGAGAGAGAACAGACTAAGATGGTTGGGTCATGTACAATAAAGACCTGTAGATGCAATGGTTAGGAATAATCATCATAAATGTAAATATTAGTGGTTGACCTAAATAGGTATGGGATGTGGTACTAAAGAGAGGTATGGATTTATTTAACTGAGCATATAGTCCTTGACAAAGTGGTATGACAAAAAATAATTCATGTAGCGGACCCTACTGTGTTGGGACACAAGGCTTAGTTTGGTTTGATTTGGTTTGGTTTGGTTAAACTTTCTTGGGCAAAATATTAAGATAGGTTACCCTTTTTCTTATAGAAAAACTCATGTGGCATGATTGACCTGTGATGACAGAAAAGTAATGTTGTAAGATGACACTGATCTCTTTTTAATACTGTGTCAGTAATAGGTAAATTATGTTAATATGCCTGTATTTTCTCTGCTTTTTGTGTTATTCAGTTGAAGGAAATAACAGAGAAGTTGCCTCCTGAGGTATCAAACAGTGACGACTTTAAAGACATGAATGCTCTAGTCGAAGATTTTCTGAGTAGGAATAGAGTTCCAGGGTCTGATTCTCATTCTTCCTTGCAAGAAGACTTGGTGTATGACCATCAAAATCGGCCTGATAGAACTTCCTTGATTGAGTCTACTAATAGGCAAGATCGTAGGATGGAAGATCATCTGGATGTTGTAGGAGTTAGAGAACTACCACAAAATGGTGAAGATACTCCAAGGAATAGTAACAGACTATCTGATGCTAGAGAACCTGTACCTATACAAAGCAATGAGAGTGGTTCAAGATCACCTAAAGCTCCTCCAAAGACTGAAGGACAAAAAGAAGTCATTGAACAATTTGAACCCGGTGTTTATGTAACTCTTATTCAACTGCAGGAAGGTACTAAGATCTTCAAGCGAGTTAGATTCAGGTACTGATAGAGATTATTTATTACTGTTTTTTTTTTGTCTTTACTGAACTGTTTTCATATTTTAATCAACTTTTTATATTTTTAGATGCACTAAAAAGTAAAATATATGTGAAATTTTTTTGAAATACGTTCACTAAAGAAGAAAAAAAGAAACAAAAACTAGCACGAAAATATGAAAACTAGTTGATAATTAACCACAGTATTCATGTACTTTAATTTCTATATTCAACTTCATGATGCTTATGTGACAATTATCTTATTACCTGGAATTCGACTCATACGGTTCTACAGCAAAAGAAGGTTTGCCGAGCAGCAGGCAGAGGAATGGTGGAAGGAAAACAAAGACAGACTACTTAAAAAGTACAGCCCGCCGCCAACGTCAAATAACACTCCAACGAGACCACCCACAACTCCAACGCCTGCTGATGAGAATGCTGAGGTGGTGAATACTGAGGCGGCAAATACTGAGGTGACACCATCTCTGTAAACATGGTTTTGTAGCTTAGTCTCTTGCAATCAAATGCGGACAAATGCGAAAAGTGTAAGTAGGAAAAGTTATCAGCAACTGTATGAGACGGTGGATGTTGTAAGGCCGACGTGTTTGCTCTCAGAAACATATTATAGCTTTTTTCCGAGTACGATGGACAACGGGATTCTTTCTTTATTCTGGCCTGCAGGCACGATATCTAATGTCGTAAAAGACAAAAGTGAAATGCTTCTTAACACCAATTGATTTTTAGGAGAGGTGGTGAAACTCGGTGTGACAATAATTTTTGTCATTCATTTAAATATTTATTCTTTTGTGTTGTGCTATTTCCAGAATCTAATAGTTGCTATTCAAGTTGTACAGTAAGTGAATTTTCTAGTGGGGAAAAAACATACATTGTTGTCATTTGTAGAGCTACATTTTTTAGGTAGAACCCTTTGTAATGCAAGGAAGTGCATTTTTCTTTCATTGTATCTGGGAGAGAGATCAGATTGTAGGGCTTCCGCAAGTTTTATGCATGTTGATATGGCAGTTCAGATTAATGCTAGAATGATCAAATTAATGTATCAATTTTTATGTCATTGCCACATTTTTAATGGGGATGTCATGTTGTGAGCAAATGACCTCAAGCACAGAGAAACTACAACCAAAAAAATAAAAATTAAATAAATTAAATTAAATTATACAAGCTGTGTATTAGGTTTCGACAAGAATGAATCAAAGGCATGGGGATGTTGGTACTGTTCGGCTTGCAAAACAATTGGTAATGGTTCTGTTTGTAGTTATTCATGTATTGGTTTTGATCAAGTTTCTGAAAAGTGGTTGCGGTCGCCGTAACGGTGGCAGTGGCACGATTGCGGTGGCGGGGTGTAAAGGCTTTAGCATTACGGTTGCGGTAACTGGAACCGTGAATTTTTTTATTTTTTGCACAATCTGAAAAAAATTTATCGATACGCATATTTTTTTTTTCCATGATCATATTTATTAAGTTTAAAATAAATATTGATCAATTTTTAAAAAATTTTAAGTATGATCCAATATATTTCATATTTTTAAATCACTACAAACTGAGTTTTTTTATATTTTATTTTAATAATTAATAATTTTATATTATACAAAAATTCAATTAGTAACTATTATATATAAGATAAACAATGACAAAAGTAAGAAAATAAATAAGAACCTAAATATATATATATATATATATATATACATATTTTAACCAAGCCAAATAAATAATGATCACACTTATTATTATTATTTTCAGACAATATATAGATAGACACACACAAACAAAATGGTTGAGTGATAGCAGTTGAATAGAATAGTTTAGGTCTTACAACTTTAACAAATCAATAACATGTTCTTCATCTTCCCTCTTCTCTCTCTCTATCTCTTTTACTCCTCCATTTTCTCTCTTTATCTTCCCTCTTTCTCTCTATCCCTTTTCCTTCATTTTCAGCTTTTTTTGTGTGTTTTTTTCGAAAGAAACAGTTTGGAACCGTTACGTAACGGTGTGTAAAGGGCATACGGTTGTTACGGCACCGTTACGACCGCTACGGTAGCCGCTACGGCGACACACCTGTGAATCTCAATCACACTGCAAAAGCGGGCGTAACGGGTGGCGGTAACCACCAAAACCGTTACGAAACGGCGTTACGTAACGGTTGCGGCCGCTTTTTAAAACATTGGTTTTGATTATGAGTTTTTAATGAGTTTTGTTTGGTATGCGAGCTTTAAGGATTGCGCCATAAAATGAATCAAGTTACTCGAATGATTCATTAAAAGTTCATTTAAGATTGATTTATTGTCTAAACAATTTAAATTTGAACACATTTCAAAACTTGTTAAGTTTTTAAATCAACTTTGTCTCCATTTGGAAAGTGGGTTGGTTTTTTGGTTTTTTTGACTTTTTTAGCCTGGGCTAAAAAGCTTGGTTTGGGAATGACTTTTTAGCTTTTTTGACTTTTTTTGTGAGAGAAGAGTGTAATGATTATAAGTCAGATGTGATGTTTTGTTTGTTATGGCTAAAATAACCTATTTTATTTTTTGTGACTATTTTAACCCAAAACTACTTACCAAACACTACTTTATCAATATACTATTCGGCTCGACTAGGTTATATACACTATAAAAACAATTTACTTATATCAGCTTGATTAAGTAGTTATTTGGAGTTTGTTTTTTATAGTTTTTTTTTTTTTTTTTTGACTTTTTAAGAGTTAAAAAAGTTAATATGTTTGCAAGTAGTTTAAAAAAATATTTTTTTTGAGTAAAAAAATGATATGATTTTGGATTTTTTTTAACTAATGACATACAATTTAGTGATTTTTAAACTTTTTTTATTTTTAGCCAAAAGACGGCTTTTTTTATGAGGGTTTCCAAATGACCTCTAAATCTCATTTGAAATTTGTTTTAAAAAGGATAAATTAAACCAAATTTCAACCCATTTTAAGCATTTGTTTAATTTTTCAATCACGTTTTGGTAAATTATTGATAGGTCCTAATGATTAGATTTTTCCCCTCAAGTCTTATTGAAATCAATTCTAGTAAAATTGTTGCAAAAAATAATTTTTTATGATAATTTTTTGCGTATATCGCAAAAAATTGACAGTTGTGACTTTATTTTTATCACGTTTTTTATAAATTGTGACTAAAACTTATAATAGTGACATTTTTCTGTAACGAATCTATTAGATTATCGCTAAAGTTGAAAGTAATTGATATTTTTTTAATGATAATTTTTTGGGCAAATTACAAACACACCCCTCTCGAGGTTTGGTGAAAATACAGATTCTCCTGAGGTTTGAGAAATTACATCCCGCTCCTGAGATTTATATTTTCATAACAAATTGCCCTGAGAATTTTATTTTCATAACAGATTCTTTCCTATTTTTCTTAATTTGTTATGAAAATTTGACCATCAGGGGGCAATTTGTAATTTCTCAAACATCAGGGGGAATCTGTATTTTTACCAACCTCGAGGGGGGTGTTTGTAATTTGTCCTAATTTTTTTAACTGCACACTTATTAGTGACATTTTTTTTGACTTCTAACTGTCTAAAAATAACGATATGACGCCTTTTAATATAGTTGATGAAAATACCATTAAATATTAAGAAACTTATTAACAATAATTTTACAATTATTTGACTTACACGTAAATCTCTAAATTTAACAATTGATACTATGTTCCCACTGAATTTGTTAATAAGCCTAGTTGTAGAGGTGTATTTTGGGCCCGTGCACGCGCGGCAGCCCAAGGTGGTCTGGCCCGTTAATGCCCGAGCTCGAGGCCTTGGGCTGGGGCCATTGTTTTGAAGCCGCGGACTAGCTCGTCACGGGCTTGGCCCGCTTATGACTCAGTCCATTAGCCGCTCAAAGGGCCCGCCCAAAAGCCCGACTTGAGGTCTAGCCATCAGAGGCCAGTATATATTTAATGAAAATAATAGAATTTTTGTGGAAATAATAAAAACAAAATTTAAAAATTGTTTTAGGTCCCGCCCAAAGCCGAGCTTAGGCTTAAGCCCAGGGGCTCAGTTCATTTGGCTGCGTCCAATAAGCCCCGAATACCCGGCGACTGGGCCTAGTTTCTGGCCCGTGGGCTGGCCCAGTCCGGCCGATTTTTTGCGGGAGCCCGTAAAGACCCGACATGAGGTTCCGGTCCGACCAGAGCCCGTGAGGAGCCGGACCAAGGCCAAATTACACCCTACCTATTATAAGAGATGGAAGGGGACACAGTCTCTGCCAAAATTCTCCTTTTTTCATCATTAAAAAAAAAATTATAATACTAGGCACTAAATTCTATTTGATTCACAAGTATATTGGCCCCAAGGAAATGGAATAAATTTAGAATAATTATCTTATAAATATTTATTCAAAGATAAAAATCATGGTTCAAAATTTTTTTTAGCTCGTACTCACATTTATCATTTAATTTTTCACTCACAACAATACCCATTTCTAAGTAAATTTCTGATATCCAAACTTTTCTTATTGGCCGCACTTCAAACTGTCCTTACTCTCGGCGAGTAATGATTTTTATTTTTTTCTATTTTTATTTTATTTGGTTCAGTTTTTGAAAATAGTTTATAAGTTTTTATATTCGTATTTTTATTATTTTTAATGATTTAAAAATGATTTTAATTAATTTTTTACTTAATATTGGTGTACTTAAAAAATATATAATTTGTAAAAAATATTTAAAAAATTTATTGAATATAAACAAACAATAATGAAAATGTAATAAATTTTTATATATATTTTTTGTGTTTGGTGAATTTCTAAATATTATACTTTTGTAAATATATTTGGATGAGTGTATTTAAAAAATAAAAAAATTTACATAAATATATAAATTATTAAAATACAAAAAATATGAAAAATAAACAATTTTCTAAATAAGTAGGTTAAACAAAGCAATGAGATCTTCATAGGAAATGTGAATAAATGATATTTCTATTTTGATTTTTTTTTATATGAAACAAAAAATGGGCATATGTTCAACGTGTATTATTAATGGGTAAATACACTGACATCTTGAGGTTTAGAATTTATTACACTCCCTTTTCATTTTTTAAAAATTACATCCCTCTGAGATTTTAAAGTTTATTATAGATTTCCTCCTTTCAAGGCAATTTAAATTTTTTTAAATATCAATTTTGCCCCTCATTGGGTAATTACATTTACACCCCTCACATTTTAAAAATGACAATCCCCTCTCTAAAATTTAAAGTAAGCATTACCGATTGCCCCCTCGGTTAGTAATTAGTTGGAAAAAAAAAATCATCTTGAAAAAATTTTGTTAGTAAAATTTTAAAATTCTGTTTAAAAACTAACGTAAACTTATTTTTTGAATTTAACGTTTTTTTCCTCAATTTACAAACTGAGACAACCATTTATAAACTAAAAAAAATTATCAAACAAGTTTTTTAATGACCATTTTTTTAAATTTTTGTAACATATAAAATTTGAAAATTTGAAACGAAATGGTTAACCAACAGGGCTTCAGATGGTAAAAATGTCGTAAAATTAATAAATAATTAAATAAGTTACCAATGTAGAAAAATGACTTATCAAAAGATTCTTAGGCTATGTATGGTTTGATTTTAGAAAAAAAAATAAAATTAATTTGGTTAAGAAATAAAAAAATAAAAAAATATTTCATATTTATATAATTTTTATTTTTCGAAGTGATTAGTAAATATTTTTTTAGCAAATTAAAATTGAACACAACCATATGTATGTATATTCGATGCTCTAAAGTTAAAATGATAATTATTTTTTACCCTTAAAGATAATTAAATTTTTTTTAATTTTTTATTTCTTTAAACCAAATTAAATTTTATTTTTAAAAAAATTCTAAAAATCAAACCATAATCATAGCCTAAAAATCTTTTGATGAGTCATTTTCTTACGTTGGTAACTTATTTAATGTTTGTTGATTTTGCAACATTTTATCATCTTGAGGCCTATTTTGGTAACCATTTCGTTTTCAGTTTTCAATTTTAATATTTACAAAAATTTAAAAAACTGTCATAAAAACTTGTTTGATAATTTTTTTTGGTTTAT